TTGATTCAATCTAGTTGAGGAAATTCCGAAACTTCACTATTTTACATATAACCTTAAACTCCATTTTTACTTCCGATGGCATTTGCATTTTTATGCAATAAACAGACTCCTTTCATCAAATTTAAGGGAACCCTAAATTTTTTATTCTTTGAATAATTTTCCATTTCCCTGTGGATACGATACCCTAAAGCTATACTACAACTACCGCGTTATTCTTTGAGCGTAACCATATACATTGCTGCACAACTTGCACTTGATTTGGTTATAGTTGCCAGGAAGCTACGTCAATATTTTCAGTCTCATCCAATCGTTGTGCTCACCGATTAACCACTTAGACACATACTCAGAAACCAGACATCTCGAGAAGACTATTGAAATGGGAGATTGAATTGGGCGAGTTTGATGTAGAGTTCAAGCCACGACCCGCCATTAAGGCGCAGACCTTAGTTGACTTCATTGCAGAACTTACCCTAGGTCTCGGGGCCACATGATACTAACCCGACCAAGACCTTGGAAATTTGGGAAATCTTCTGGATGGAGCATCGAATAGTTCAGGGATCGGGCATCGGGGTCATAGTCACTAACCCTAACAAAACTATCGAGATCTAATGCGCGTTCAGGTTTGAATTTGAAGCCACCGATAATGAAGCGGAGTATGAGGCTATCATTCTAGCTCTAGAACTGGAATGCAACCTTGAGCTCGAGCATATCAAAATTTTCAGCGACTCACAACTTGAGGGTGCTTTTGAGAGAAAAGATGAGCCTGTATTGTTTAAAGTTGCATTATCTTCAGAGACGATTCAAAAGTTGTGAGATCATTAAAATCGCTAGAGCTCACAATGCGAGGGCTGACGCTTGTCCAGGCTGATGTTTATAGGGATAGATGGACTGGATAGAACAATACACATCAAGATGGTAACTGAGCCTAGCATCAATCAGAAGATGAGCATTATGGGTGTTAATCATGAACCTTCTTGGATGGATCCAATATCGGAATACTTGATTAGTGGAAACCTACTATCTGACCCCCGGGAAGCAAGAAGCATCAAGTCTATAGCTTCAAGGTATTGCATTATTGGAGGAGTCTTGCTTTACAGGAGTTTCGCTCTACCCTACCTCAGATGTCTCAAACCCTCTGAGTCCTTCCAAGCCTTAGCAGAGGTTCACGAAGGTTTATGTGGAAATCATCAAGGAGCTCGTGCGCTATCTTACAAGCTCATAAGATATGGATATTACTGACCAAGCATGAAGAATGACATATCAGACTATGTAAAAAGGTGTGATAAGTGCTAGAGGTTTGGCAATATGATACATACCCACACAGAAGAACTAACTTCCATTCCCTATGCTACCCGTTTGAGAAATGGGGAGTGGACATCCTTGGACCCTTTCCGTTGGCAAAAGGTCAAGTGAAATTCGTTGTTGTAGCGATAGAGTACTTCGCTAAGTAGGTAGAAGCTGAGCCCTTGTCAATCATCTTAGA